TCCTGTCCGTGCGACCTTGCTTTGCTGGCTCTCGACGACGCGTCCTCTGCATCTTCGAATGATCCTGCAAGGTCAGCGCAGCATCGCAGTGGATGTTGTTGGACCACCCTGCCCCCCGTTTGGTGGGCCAGCCTCGATGTTGTTCCGTTCCTGAAAATCCTGCTGACGTTTCTCTCCACCCAGCCATCCTTTTGTGTTTTATGCCCTGTGGATGTGAGGATATGCAAAGCAGGCAAGCCAATTTGCGGGAATCCAAAACCATGGCAGCATCCATGTGCTGTCAAGGTTAATGGTGGTGAGAGAGAACCGCCTCGCCAATCGCAACATCGTGAACCCTGCTTATCACACTCTCCACTCTTCCCTTGTTCGTCTAGCTCGTTGGGGATGTCTAATAATACTTGGGGGCTTCAATAAATCGACCAGGGAAAAGAAACGAGGATTGGGACAAGAGAAAAGGAAAAAAAGAAAGAAAAAGAAAAAATGGAAAAGCGAGAAAGAAAGAAAGACAAGACGGGGAAAAAGAAGGGAAAAAAAGAAAAAGGAATAAGAACGAGGAACACGGATCCACAATGGCTGTAGCTGTCGGGCTAATTGTACCCCATTAGTTCTCAGTCTTACTTAGCCCTCAATGCTCAAATCTAGAGTTGCAGTGCGTTATTATCACAAACTGGACAGCGAACGAAGATGTCCTTGGCCTCTTTGCATCCAGTCATCTTCCTCATCACTGAGTGTCACAGTCGCCTCAACTCGGTTGGCTCTGGCTTGCCCATAAGGCTGGCCATTCCCAAGCTCGTCACGCCTTCCCTTCATGTCTGTTCCTTCGTTGGCTGGAGCGGCGTCTATGCACTCAGAAGAGGATCCAACAGAGTTATCGGAGGAGCGCAAAGAAAAGAAGAATAGAAAACGAGTGCGAAAAAGAAAAAGAACGAGAGAGAAGAGCAGACAAAGAAAGAGAAAAGAAAAAGAAAAACGAAGAAGAAAAGGAAAAGGAAAAGGAAAAAGAAAAAGAAAAAGAAAAGAAAAGGAAGAAAAAGGGTTTCTGGCGGACCAGGGTCAGTCTCCTTTCTCAGACCATCGGGCTGCTGTCTGATTTTGACAACGTTTGCGCTCGCCAAAGACAAGAGGCCTGTCTTGGCAGACACCTGTTGGTGTTCCAGCTCGACCAGGGAGCCGCGCACGTCATTCTCCATCAAAAGGCGCTCCGTATCTGTCGGGGTATGCGAGTCCTTGCAGTAGTGGCACCGCTTCTCCAATCCGCACCAAACACGAACCGTATCCCCTCCACACCCTGACGCGAGTGCCCTGAAATAAAGAATCCTCGAGTCGCTTTCGCTGCGCTCCACACAAAGGGGCGGCGCCAAGCTCGTTCGATGACCATGCCAGCATTCTCTCACATCCCCTTCCCCTTCCCCCTCCGAACGGAACGGAGCCCTCCACCCTAGCTCCACCCATACGAGGGAAAAGATTGAAAAACTGGCTGGCAGGGGCGGCGGAAACCGCTCCTTTGTTATGCTGGTGGGTTTTTGTTTTTCTTCTTCTGTTTGTTTCCTTGATCTTTTCCCATAATTGTGGGAGATGAAGAGGGGCGGAGTCGCCTGGAATGCCGTTTAAGCGAACCTACACCCGATTCCGCTTGTGAAGAGGGCAAACGGTGAATTCAAGGCGGGGGTTTTCTTTTTCTTTTTTCTTTTCCCTTTTCCTTTTCTGTTTTGTTTTTCTTTCCGCCTCCTCTCTTCTAGGAATCCAGTTTTACTCTTTTTTTCTTTCTTTCTTTCTTTTTTCTTCTTTTTCTTTTCTTTCATCTACCCAGTGATATTTCTCCAGGGTGCCGGCTATCCATCTCTATGACCAGGTAATTCAAGTGGTGATTGTATAATTTTCAAGAACTGGGGACCCTCGGCATCAGGAGGCTATTGTCCCTTTCTTTTTCCTTTTTCCTTTTTCTCTTTTCTTTTTCTTCCTTAGCTCCCCTGCTGCCCCGTCCGGGATCTCCGTTGACCGAGCAAGCTTGGCCGATGTAATATTATTGCCGTGTTTCCTAGTGGTGCCACACCGAAATCCGCGCTTGAGAGTCCCCATTGCGAGGGATGCACAAAATCGCTCCCCATCGCTCTGACCTCACAAGACTTGGAAGAAGAAAAAAAAGGCACGACTCAACTTTGTGGCTCCAAGACCGTCGAGCCTTCTTCAAGACAAAGAGCAAGGCAGAGACTTACCCGCTCGATCCGTTCGCCGTGCCCCGCTCTCCCCTGGCCCTCCTTCCTTCTTCGGGCGTTCCACGCAAGCCGACTGGCTCAAGGGAAAGAGCCTCCCCACCCTTTAGGATCGAGCGAAAAGCCATGGCCAAAGTCAAATGTCTCACAAGAGGCGATCGTCGGTGGAGACGAACACGTGCAGGGAGTCAAAAGAGAGACATAGCCTGGTCAATCGGGAGAACGAGCAAGGAGCGAAATAAAGGACAGAGGCGAACGAGAGACATTTGCCCCTGCGTTGACAGGCGACACGACAGATTAGCTTATTCTTCAACTCGCCGAATGGCTCACCGGCCACCGGTGGGCCTTGAGGCTGAGAGGAGCCAACACTCTGGAAAAGCGAAAATAGTCCTGATCCACATAGTCAACTCTCCAATGTCTTTCCCAGTTTTCTGGGACTATGGAACGTTTCTCCTAGCGTAGGCATTGGAAGCTAGTTCGTCGGAACATTTAGTAGGAAGCAAAAATAACAAGGCGATCAAGGCACTTGAAAACCAAATGATACTACAGAGAATTAAGGGTGGGGGAGAGGCAAAAATCCTGGTAGTATTCTTCCGATGCGGTCCGCTTTTTGCAAACGCGCATGAAAACTCGTATCCCGAGGGGCCTTGTCAACCGATGACGATCTTTTCCTCCCTCAGCCCGCGTCGGGGTAGGGCTGGCCGTGGAGCCAAGTGCAAGGGGCCGCCGTCGTTTGAGAATACGACGCTCTCGCGATGGATAGTCTCGGGTCCTGCGAAAGAGCTTGGGCCTTGAAAGGCGACGATCGAGGAACGCAGTTGGCCGGAATCCTACCGAACGCGCGGACAGGCAAATGAAAAACAAGAGAATAAGAATAAAAATAAAAATGAGATGAAATGAGGAGACACAAGGTTGTCCACCAAAGGCTTTTTCCCATCTCGATCGCGCCAGTTGATTCACGGAGCCACGCCCAGTCGGCCAATTGTGCCGCTCATCCACAATGGTTTTTTTTTTTGGCACTGAGGCGCAGAGAAAGGCGAGAGAAGAATCTGTCAAGTCAATGGCCATAGAAATTGCAAACACTCACAATGCTCAATGTGTAAACAGTCTTCTTCAACTCCGCATGAGCAATAGACGCACCGAAGCCGACACATCCGGTCCACCCGTCGTTTGGTGAATCGTGCGCGCTTGATCAGTGCAGATGCTGTCTTAACTTATTTGCCTAGGATCCACTGGCTCAGCCTCATCTGAGCTGGCTGGCCACAGGATTCTCTGCTGCTGCACCATTTGAAGTCTGGCGCTTGCAAACTCGTACCTAGTTGATTCGATGGGCTCCCTCCAGTGCTGCAAGCAACAAGTCAACCGCTCCCTACCAAAAGGGGGACAAAGGGGAGGGGGATAGTCACCTGAAATCAACGTTGGGTCGGCCCGGCCTAACTCGACCTGAAGGCAGCCATGGGCCAAAAACCACACCAACGCGAACCCACTCCGCTCTGTCGACACCGGCAAAAGGCCCTCTCAGCCCCATTTCCCTCAATTAACCTTTTGGTTGCTTTGTGACTCTGCCACCACCCAGTCGAACCAGCTGTGGCGGGTGCCGCTGCCCATTGGGAGGGGGAGGGTACTAGCAATCAAATCCCGGCGAGGTCCACCCCAGTAACCACCGCAATGTTGTATGCTCAGCGACAATCTCACCTACGGGAGTACTGCTGACGACAGCCTCAATTTTGGCGAGACGCAGAGCGAGAGCACATGCTGTCGACAAGTCCTTTTGTCGTGCCGCCTTCCTTTTCGGAATCGCTCGATTCGTGCGCCGCATTCCCTTGTTCGGCCAATTCTTCCCTCGTTCGTGCATCGCCTCCTGCCCGTGCTCCCTCCCAATCCGGGACTATCCATATTACTCGATTCCGTCCAACAAGGGGAATCAATTGAATTTGGCCGGTTTAAATCGTTGCTTGAAGTACTCAGTAAAAATAATAAAATTCAAACAAAGCATCAGCCTTTATGACGAGAATCACGCCTTCTCCGCCTTGTCCCCACGTTGATCTTCTTCTTCTCTGATTTTCCCATTCTTGGCAGAGCGTCAGCGGCTATCCTTTCCTTTTTCCACCCTTCTTCAGTCGTGCAACTCGCTGCGTCGTCACCCTCACTTTCCTTACTTTTTTATTCTGCTCCTTCGCCCACCTGGCCTTTCTTGGCGCAGCCAACGACAGTGCATCGTCCTTTTTCACTTTCGGGGCTTCGTCGCGGACTGTGGAGGGAAAACAATTAAAACTATCGAATCCCCGCAGTTCCTATCCCCTCTAGGTGCCTCTCGCTTTTCCCTGTAGGACCAGACCCCTGGTAGATCGCTCGCTTCCGCCCTGCAGCTTCCACCAGGCCAAGCACCCCTCCACGAACTCAGGAACGATTGAAGAGATCGACAACGAAGAGCTCAATATTTGGCATCAAAACCCTAATTTTTGGGGATTCAAAAAACTACAATTAATTGATATTGACAGTCACAAGGGATCAGTTACCTTGGAGGCACGTTTAGTCCAGGCGCTATTGGTCGTTAGAGCGGGAGCTCCCCATCGAATCAACCACTATTAAGCCCCTGAAAAGTTAAGCTTCCAGCCAAGGACTTGGCTTGGACCACCCGCGCCGCGCGAGTACCACCACAGCCCCCAAGGCAGAAAATAAAAACTACCCCCGAAAAAAACTCCCCGAGACAACCTCACCTTCTCCGCCTCACCCGCACTCCAGGTCTCTTCTCCTCAAGACAGGTCTCTTCCTCCCCCAGACGCCATGTCTCAACTCAACTACAACTCCGACTCCTTGGGCAAGGGCGATGCCGCCGCGCGCTCCGCCACCAAGCAGCGCCGACGACGCCTCGCCTTCATCATCGCCGCGGTGATTGTCATTATCGGCCTCGGTCTAGGACTTGGACTTGGCCTCGGTCTGCGAAAGGGCGACGACGACGACGACGGCGACGATGGCGACGACACCACCGACGACGGCACCGACAGGGGCGCCAACCGCACCACGATGTGGAATCCCTCGGTCGGTGACTCGTGGCAGATTATCCTCCTCAAGCCCCTCGACACCTCGGTGGACCTCGAGCCGGATGTGGAGGTCTACGACCTGGACCTGTTCAACAACGAGGCTACCGTGTTCGACGACCTGCACGCCAAGAACAAGAAGGTCATTTGCTACTTCAGCGCCGGCTCGTGGGAGAACTGGAGGGACGACAAGGACAAGTTCGAGGACAGCGATCTCGGCTCCACGCTCGATGGGTGGCCCGACGAGAAGTGGTTGAAACTCAGCAGCGACAACGTGCGCTCCATCATGGCCGAGAGGATCAAGCTGGCGAGCCGCAAGGGCTGCGACGCCATTGACCCGGATAATGTTGACGGATACGTAAGTTGAGCCTCCCTTGCCGATACGGGTCCTGCGCAAGCTATTTTTTTCTTTTTGTTTCTCCACACCTTTCCCCACGCGAAGGAGTTTGCCTATGGCCAACCTACCTACCATAGCCGTCTGTCCATTAGTGCTAACGTAGTTCCCCCTCCAGGAAAACGACAACGGCCTCGGTCTCACCGAAGAGGACTCCATTGACTTCATGAAGTTCCTCTCCGAGGAAGCCGCCAAGTACAACATGTCGACGGGTCTCAAGAACGCCGGCTCCATCATCGACCGCTCCCTGCCCTACGTCGCCTTCTCGGTCAACGAGCAGTGCGGCGAGCACGACGAGTGCGAGACGTTTGAGGCCTTTATCGAGGACAAGAAGCCCGTCTTCCGCATCGAGTACCCCAAGGAGGACCTCACCGACGAGGCGCGCATTGCCGCCGTCTCCAAGCAGAGGTGCGATGCCGCGGGTGCCTCGGCGTTTAGCACGGTACTGAAGAACATGAACCTCGACGGTTGGGTCGAGTATTGCGATGGCGATACATACGATACCTCCATCGTCAGCTAAACTACTCCCTTTTCCATGTCACTCTCACACACGCTCACACACACTCTCTAACTCCAACTCTCTCACTCTCTCTCTTTTCCCTCTTCTCCTATCCTCCCTCTCACGCACGAAACGCATACTCTTCCGACCTTTCGTCCTTACAAGTTTTAAATTGTCACTACATAACTAGACTTTTTTTCTTTTCTTTCTCCACCTCATTGTCCTTCCCACTTGACATTTTTGGGGAGCCATCTCTCATTCAGACTCTTTTTTCTTTTTTTTTCTTGTACAGCGCTGGCATTCATTCAATTCACTGTTGTCACTTTTCTTCTTCTTGGCATGGAAGGATTCGGCACTTTGCTCATCTTGGACAAGGGGGTGGGAGGGAGATAGGGGGCGGAGGCGACGAGTCTTTTTTTTTAACGGAGCCAGCGCATAATGGCCCACCTCGACCTTGTACAAGTAGTGTAGTTACTCGATCTTATTAATAGGCTAATTTACACAAGAAAATCGAGCTGAACCAATTGCCCCGAACACGCATCATTCCATCATCGAGTCTCTCGTTCCACCAATGGACCCAGGGCAGGGCATCCATACTTGTAATACAATTCCACTCCTTCCGAGTCTGCGTGCACTTTGTATCTTCTGATGGGGCCCCGTGCCTGATTTTCGAAGCAGTGCAAATCCACGCGAACCGAAGCCCACATATCATAGCATAAAACGATCCTCACCTACCCTTCTTCCTCTCCCAATGGACCTTGCTTAAGCATCAGCCCCGCGACGATCTACAATAAAAAGAAAAACCCCTTTGAAAGGGATAAAAAGAAATAAGAAAAAGAAAGAAATGGAAAAAAACTCGGTAACGAAGGCGTTATGATTTCCCAAAAGCTCTCGTTCCCCCTCCCCCCTTCCGCCCCGCCATCAATGCCCATCAACTAGCTCGCCCGACCTCGTGTTTGCTCCAGGATCCGTGGGTCTCCGTGCTCCCCTCGAGCTGAGTCCCCACGGGCGCCTTGGTACCTGAAACCACCCATCCAACCATCCCACACTACCACTACCACTGCCACTACCACCAGCTCCCGAAAGTCCCATCCATCGTAATTCACGTTAAAGAAAGGGGAAAAAAATGGTGTGGGTGCCAAAAATACAAGTCTCTCACGAAGCGGCCCGTTGGCTGATCTACATGTGCTTGTAGGGATACGGGGAGTTTCTGTAAGTATCCGAAACCGACGGACTTGCCTTGGTATCTTGGCGAACAGCTGGCTGGCTGTGCGCAAGAGTTCGTGGCACACAGGTACAGGCAGGTGGCCAAGAGAGGACGACAAGGAACATGGCAAGAAAACACAAACACCGCAGAACAAGAAAGAGGAAAAACCAGGTATTGATCCGTGGTACGGCTTGGCAGCGGGAGTATGGGCGCCGAGAGCTGTCTTTGCAGTCCTTTTGTTACAAGCGCTGGAGATCCCGTCCCATCACACTGGTTCAAAAGACTTGGTAGTCAAAAAGAATAGAGACATGGATGTCCTTGTCCATGTCGATCAATTTTTCTATCTGATTAATACCCAACCAAACCAATGCGGACGGTACATGTAGTATTATTGCAAGTCCCCCAAGCGCTTTTATCCCGGAATAGTTTTGTTCTCAAAGAAAAGAAAATATGACAAAAAGAATAGAGACCAAACAAAGAGCGGCGCACTGCCTTATGCTAAACCTGGAATATTAAAAACGCCTGGGTCAAATGTTTTGAAGCGAAATACCCGACAAAAGAAAGACACCCGAAAGATGGGATTTGATGTGGTTGTGCAGGGGGAAGAGATCAAGGAAATAAAAAAAAAAAAAAAAAAAAAGACAAAGAAAGGCCAAGGAATAGAAGATAGGACCATTAGAAGCGTTGCCTAGAACATGAAGGCGGGATGAGAAAGAGAAATTGGGCAAGATGGAAATCCGTGTATGATCCATCATTCCTCGTGTATCACATCCGCACAAGGGAAAACGTAGTCCACATACTCCCGCCACCAGCAGGGCCATCTCGAATACCCCCGCCAATCTGGTCCGTGAGGAACTGGCCGCAGACCCCCGCATCCCGAATCGCCTCAACCAGAGGCTCCACGGACTGGGGCCCAGCTTCTGAGGGTGGGCATGTGTGCATCATCACGACCGTCTTTTGTCGTCTCGATCGACCGCCAACAGTCTCAAGGAACGATTGCTTGGTCTCATCCCAATGCGTAAGCGACTGTTCAAAGCCAACAATGTAGTTGGCAAGGTCATAGTACCGCGCATCGACAGCGACGCCCGGGTTCAGCATGACCAGGCCGTTGGCACCGCTCTTGGCCCCGCGAAGTAGACGGCGAGCGCACCGCGTCAGGCGCGACATGTAGGCCAAATCGGCCAGGTCTGACGGCGCCTCGTCGAAAAAGATGCCGTCAACCCTAATGCGCGCCGACTCACCGGCCGTCGCGTCACCTTCGCCAATATCTCCGGGGCGGAAGGTGTCGCGCGAAGCCCAAGCAGCGTATTCGCCAATATCCTTCTCCACGGCGGCAGCGTTTCGCTTGCCATAGGTTACGTGGACGTAGCCAAGCACCGTGACGTTGGGAAGAGCTGCGAGGCGGCGGAGAGCGTTGACATAGTTGGCATCGGGCAGAGGCGTAGGTCCGGGCCCATTGTAAGGGTTGATGATTGCGTGAAAGTACGAGGTCGGATGAGCAAGGGCGGCCTCTACCAGGGGCTCCCAGGCACCCGGGTCTGGGTAAATGTACAGCGGAACGCAGACAAAAGGTGAAGTGGGAGACTGGTCGGGCAGGGGTGATGCCCGACGCCGGGGGTAACACCGTGGACTGAGGAGGCGGCGCTGTGGGTGGCCGTTGGTGGTGTCGAGAGACCCGACCACGATACCGTCCTGCTCTCAGCATCAAAGCACGGGAAGGCCGGGCCAGGGAACTCCGAGTCGGCGGTGCCACTGGAGCTGGGCGTACCGCGGTCGCCCGACGAAGTATGAGAAGGATTAGACATGAAGAGAGGCAGGGGGTGTCCAGGGTGAGTTCAAGCTGTTGCAGGGCGGCGGTGGTAGGGAGGGCAGGTGGAAGCAGGGAGAAGCGGTGGACAGAGTGTACGGATTGCGTAGACTGAGTGGATTTTGTGGCGTAGGTAGCGGAGGATGCAGGTCGTGAGCTTGATTGTGAGCTCTTGGGCGATGTTACGCTCTGCTGATGCTCCTGGCGTTGTCGATGTTGGTCCTGCTGTTGGTTCTGCTTATTCCGGCGATGGACGAGCCGGGAGACCAGGGAGGAGATTCTGGAAGGCATGATTGATGTGCCTTTGGGCCCAAAGGGACGTTACCTGAAGAGGAAATAGCGGGGCGGCACAAAAACCCCTGTCCAAGGGCGGTGTGCGTGTTTGAGTGCGTGCGAGGACGCTTGCGTCGACCAGCAACGCCAAGAGGGATAATACCCAGCCGATCAGAAAGAGCCTAGTAGACCCAAAAATTGGGCGAACCGTGGTTTGGCACGTTCCTCAGGTTTGGTTATTTTAGGCTCACCAGAAAGCTGCAGCGGGCGTGTTTAGGCGGATGCAACCCTAAAAGGTAGTCAAGACGTGCAAAAAAAAAAGATGGTCAAGGTCTCAGGGCGAAGCCGACTTTTCCGTGTTAATGGTTTTGACGCTGTTTGAGTGGTAGGAATCCGAAGAGAGAGAGTGTGTGTGACGGCGCAGCGTGGGGTTGATCTGGCAGAAGTGAATGACTGGAATGTCTCGGTTTCAAACCGTCGATGCCGTAGGGTTCCCTTCTTCCCGTCTGATGTGAGAGTGCTCAGCAGAAAAGTCAACAGGACCAAGGCTGCAGACCGAGTGATGCTCGTTGTGGGTAATGGCAAGGGTGTTGACTGGAGGCGCAGTGAAGGGGGGTTGCTCCACAAGGTGCTATTGTGCTTGAATGGCGTGGTTAGGAGAAATAAGCACGATTCTGTTGGCCGATGGGCGTTCTTGGAACCTTGTCGCAAGGTAGGAGTCGAAATCCGGGTGGAAGGTGGGATTGAGTCTAGTTGACCGGTGCTAGACACATGCGAGAATGGAACGTCTGCTGTATATGTATGTGTATGTGTATGTGCGTGCGTGCGTGTGTGAGATGTGGTAAGGGTCGGAATGTGTCTTCAGGTTGCGTTGGGTGTTAGGGGTGGCATGGGAGCAAGGTAGGATGACAGGATGGAAGAGTTGTAGTCCGGCGACGATGTCTTCCAGCGAAGCTGTTTGGAGCTTGGAGCTTTCGATACGCTGCTATCCAATGGTCGTGACCCAAGCTGGCGGTTCCCGGGTATCGGAGGATTCAAAGACCAGACGGATGATGCGGCCGGAGCTTGAGACGGCGATGTGGGAAGCCAGATAAGGGGTATCTCGCAAGCAAGATAGTGAGGAAGCAAACACCAAAGGTCCGGCAAGAAAAGGTGAAAGGAAAGGAAGCCCAAGGGAGAGTGCAAAGGGCAAAGGAGAAAACCAAAAGAAGAGGTTAGAGGGAGGAAAGGAAAAAACGAGTTGGGAGAGCAGAGGAGGATAACAAGGGTCGAACGGTAGAAGAGGTTGGCAGTGTCTAGTGTACTGATGTGTCGCAAGAAAGGGAAAGGAGCAACGAAACATGCAGGGAGTAGGTCAGGTCAGACTAGGGCGATGATGAGCTGGCCCGGGTGAGGAAGGGAAGGAGAGACTAAGATTCTTTTGTTCTTTTTTCCTAATTCATCGCCTCACCCCCGGTCCGCTTTTCGTTCATCTTTCCCTCTTTGCTCCTCCACAAGTGAAATACCCGAGCCAAAAGGCCAAGAGCTAAAAACCCACGACCGAAACTTTTTGCCTTTCCCTTCCTCGCGGAGGGGAGTGTGCGTCTCGGGAAGGGGCTGAGTGGAGGACGAGGAAAGGAACAGGCAGGCACAAGCACAAGCACAGGCACAGGCACAAGCGGAAGGCACAGGTACAGGAAGAAGGCACGTTGTTGAGTTGGATGTCCATATCCACAGCAAAGTACAACTACACTTACACTACAGCCCGTCGTCCGCGGAGCCTGATCAACCTCTGGTCTCCTCCAATTTCGGGTACATGGTCGCCGGCTTGTCTAGCAGGAGAGAGACGGAGGAGGCTAGGCGGAAGGGACGGAAGGACGCAAGCGGGAAAAGAAAAAAGAAAGAGAAAAAAAAAGTGGACAGCTTGGCCGGCACGCCAAAGAGCTAGGCCACAGCCGCGCTGGTCCTTCCTCCAGCTGCTCGAGCTAAGAAAGGCCGTCCTCTACGATCTTTACTCATCACGAAAACCTGAGACAAGGGCAGATCCAGTTTGGACGCCGGTCCCACAGGTGCACAGGTGTGGTGGGGATAGAGGCCGAGTTTGATGGATGATAAAAGCGGGGCGCCATTTTGGGTGTTGATGGCTGTTCGATGGCTGGCTGGCTGCCGAGATCTACCACTCATCATTGATCTATTATGACCGCGACCCAAGAGAGAAAACCCGGGTTCACGCTTGCCGCATCGCATCGGTACGCATCGGTACGGGAATCCACCATAATACCCTTCAAAAGAACATTGAAGATTTGTTAAGCGCATGGAGCACCCCTCGGATACACCTCACAATCTGAGCCAAAAAAACGACACCAGCAAGTCTAGGAAAGCAATATATTCACCCTCGAGGCAACATCGCGCTGCAGCCAGAAGATGAGGTGCTCCTCGAAACGGAAAATATTGAAGACAGGGAAATGGAGATCAACGGGCGAGGCGGGGGAGAGTAAAATCGAAAAGGGCAAGGCCCCCAAAAAGAAGGAAAGAGTGTATGCATGCAGCTGGCGGAGTCCGCCAGCTACCCTTGCTGGCGTGGACTTGAGGGGCTCCGCTCATATCGTCATATCCTTCCAGTTTTCCCACTAACATGCACCCACGCTGCGTGCCCCATGCGCTCCCCTCCGTTTTGCTCTGGGCCTTTCGTTTTCGTTTTGTTTTGTGCCCTGTCCCTCATCCCTCATCTTCCTTCTTCCAGCTCGAGTGGCCGTCGTTTGCCAGGTTTTCAGGCTTGGCTTTCAATGCCAAGCATAAGGAGGAAATCGCCGGTGACGCCCCTCCGTGTTGATAATAATAACATAACATAACCTGCTGTGCTATTCCAGCCAGCTGGCTGTTTTACGGGGCCAGCGGCTGGACTACGAAAAAGCCATTCGTTTTCGTTGAGGGGTGGAACCTGATACGCTTCCTGCGGCATGGCCAGCGTGTGCATGGGAAGTTGAAAGCGATGGCTTGTGATGCAGAGCGCCCACACCTCATTCCATCATCCCCGTTCAACCGCCCCATGACTCTCAGCGGGCTTTTTATTTTTATGTTTTCGTTTTCGTTTTTTTCTGGGGAAGGCATTCTTTGCTTCTTACTCTTGAAACCCGTTCGCGGACAAGGGAATGAAAAGAAAGAAAAATAAAAACGGGCTGGTGCCTCGGCTTCGGCAAGGAAAGAGGCGCCGCCCTCGTTTCCGCACTTTGACCCTCTAGAGATAGACACGAGGTCGGCAAAGGCCAGCCCATTCCACACTGGCAAGGCTACGCCACACAAAGGTGCACGCTCGCACAAAACACGGCGTGTCTGGCTTGGTCATTCCTCACCAGCAAGGAAAAAGAGGCGTCACCTTTTTTTTTTTTTTTCTTTACGGACCCTCAAGCTTCTCTCGTTTAGCCTTTCCTCGCTGTGGCCCCCTTCCCTCGCTCTCCACAAACCGTCCAGCCCAAAACCCACTCCCGAAAATTTCCATTCTTCCTTCGTCTCTTTTCTTCCAAGGCAGAAAAATGTATTAGCGCAAGCTAGGGGGCATGTAAGAGAGGGAGCCACAAATTACACTACCGAAAGTTGGTATTAGAAGAAGAAGAACACAAATCCCCGTTCCACCCCAAAAACACCTCTTCGTGGGTGGAACCAGGATGAAAAAGAAAGAAAAAGAAAGAAAAAAGTTGGAAATTCCGCCCGTTCAGGCCTGGCTCGACCTAGCCATGAGGGCGACTGGCAAGCTTCCCATGTCGGGGCGAACCTGGTCCGCCCCATCCCTCCAGTCGCAGCTTGCAAGCCACGCCTGTTGGTGAATAAAATTTTCCGACGTGGCTTTCTAGGCAGGAGGAGGATGGTGAGACGAAATTCCCCACACTAACCAGCTCACAATCGCATGTCCGCCAGGCCGAAAAGCCCCCATCCATCTTGCCATCTTGTGCAACCCGCCCTCCGTATAGGCGTTGTGAAGAAACACGCCAACACGGACGGACGTCGTTCGAAACATTTCACTGTTCATTTCGCTACCCGAAGCCCCCAGCTCTCTCGCAAGGGAACCCCTTCACTTAAAAATAGCATCTCAGCTGAGAAAGCGTCCTCGTACCGCGCCTTTGATGGGGACGGGGAAACCCGATGTTGTCGCCCACCCCGAGCGATTTTTCATCACAATGTGAAATTTGCACACGCTACAAGCAAGTACTTTGTCTGAAAGAGAGACGAAGTGACAGCGTTGAGAAGGGGGCGCAGGAGGGCATGCCGGGGTTTTATTTTCCGCTATTCAAACATCGCGGAATTGAGGGGAGAAGATAAGGCATTAAAAAAGACAAGGTTAACCAGGCAGGACACCCTGGACGACGTCAAATGTAATAAGAAATAGAGAGCAGCAGTGTGGCTGCTCGCCCAAAAGATCAATGATTGATACCCCCAGTCCACGGTCGGTTCCACGACCTGAACAATACATGTAGACACCGCGAGCCATCGTCAAATAAGACAAAGAGAGGGTGCGCCACACAACCACGCTTAAACCCCTGGTCCTGCCCATCTTTGCCCCTTTCCCGCCCTTTCCGTGCTTTCCGTTGCATCTCCTTGCCCCCCTCCCTCCCTCCCCTCCATTTCCTGCCTTGCCGTTGCACAAGTTGGACCAATACCAGCAGAGGCAATAAGCCCTAGGAGGAAGGTGGGCAAGAACGAAGAGGAAAAAAGGTTATGTTGAGTCCTGTTTGCCCCGGGGCCATCAGGCTTGACCTCATGTGCTTCCCCCTTCCCAGCTGAGAGACAACTGTCGACCAGTTGTCCTCGCTTTATTTTCCTGCAGGTCAGCGAGTGCTCCATTGGCTGGCCCCCGCAGGCGGCTTCGGCCCTGGCGCGGCGAATACGACGACGGGGTGCCGAACGATGCAGACCATCCAGACCTCTTCACTCGTCCCGAAAGCCTCATACGACATTTTGTGCACTGACGCATCGACGACAGCACCTCTTCAGCTCACTTGAACAAGGGGAAGAAAGCAGTCCCGCCTCACTCTGGCGTTCAA